GGCTGGAGGGCAATGGCGCGATCTCGGCTCACCGCAACCTCCGCCTCCTGGGTTCAGGCAATTCTCCTGCCTCAGCCTCCTGAGTAGCTGGGATTACAGGCACGCACCACCATGCCCAGCTAATTTTTGTAGTTTTAGTAGAGACGGGGTTTCACCATGTTGACCAGCATGGTCTCGATCTCTTGACCTTGTGATCCACCCGCCTCGGCCTCCCAAAGTGCTGGGATTACAGGCTTGAGCCACCGCGCCCGGCCAACCCTGTCTTTAAAAAAAAAAAAAAAAAATAGACAAATTTAGATACATTGTTAGAATTTCTGCAAACAGGTAATATGAGAGAATTTTCTCAATATAAAAGACATCTTTAAGAATTCTACAACTAATATATTTAGTGATGAAAAACTGAATGTTTTGGCCAGAGCAAGGTCCAGAGCAAGGATGTCCACTCTCACAACTTCTATTCAGCATTATCCTAGAGATTCTAGCCAGTGCAATAGGCAAGAGAAAGAAAAAAATACAGATTCAAAGGAAAAGGTACATTTATTTGCATGTAACACGATTGTCTATGAAAAAACACTGAATACAATAAAATAGAATTGTAATTCTACTTATCAATTGTGTCCTGCAGCTTTGATAAGCTTACTCGCTAGTTGTAGCAGCTTTGTAGAAGTTGCCTCAGTATTTTTTGCATAGACAATCATGTTACATGGTATTTTATATTTTATAAATGGTATTTTATATTTCAACTTCTATTAACAAATACAAATTATTTGTACTTGTTAACTATTAACAACAAATACATTTATTAATAAACACTATTAATTAATAACAAATACCAATTATTTGTATTTGTTAATAGAGGTTGAAATACAAAATACCATTCAAAATGGTACAAAAAATATGAAACATTTAGAGATAAATTTAACAAGATCCAATGAAAGCAATGCATTGTTTCCAGGACAGAAAATTTAAACAATTTTCAGATATCAATTACAATTCTTTCAAATTGATTAATCCATTTAATGCCATGTCAATCAAAATGTCAGCGATTTTTATCTTTAGAAATTGGCAAGCCAAATACAAAATGTATACAGTCAAAAGATCCAAAATATCTGAAACAATTTTGAAGAACAAAGTTGAAATAATACTGCCTGACTTCAAGATTTACAACAAAGCTACATAGAGTCTACAGATAAACTTACATGATTACGATTAATTGATTTTTGACAGAGATACCAATATAATTCAATGATAAAAAGATAATCTTTGCCAAATGGTGCTGGAAAAACTGAATATCCATATGCAAATAAATGAACTTGGACCCTTATCACACAATACACAAACGTTAATTCAAAACGGATCAGACTTAAATGTAGGGACTAGAACAACAGAACCTCTAGAAGAAAACGTAGAATTCTTTGTAACTTTAGCCTAAGCAAAAAGACTTTAAATGGACAGAAAAGCATAAACCATAAAGGAAAAAATAAGTTGAATTTCATCAAAGCTTAACAAAAAATGTGCTCCTCGAAAAATGCTGTTAAGAAAAGACAAGTCAGGCTAAGCATGGTAGCTTATGCCTGTAATTCCAGCACATTGGAAAGCTCAGGCAGGCGGATCATTTGAGCCCAGGAGTTCAAGATCAGCCTGGGTAATACAGTGAAACCCCGGCTCTACCAAAAAAAAATGTGGTACATGTACGCCATAGAATACTACACAGCCACAAAAAAGAACAAAATCGTGTCTTTTGCAGCAACGTGGGTGCAGCTGGAGGCCGCTATTCTAAGTGGATTAAATCATGAACAGAAAAACAAATACCTCATGTTCTCTCACTTACAAGTGGGAAGCTAAACACTGAGCACACATAGACACAAAGTGAGAACAATAGACCCGAGGAATTACTAGAGGCAGGAGGACAGCAGGAGAATGAGCGTTGAAAAACTGTCGGGTACTATGATTACTACCCTGGTGATGGGATCATTCATACACCAAAACCCAGCGGCACGCAATTTACTCACGTAGCAAATCTGCCCAAGCAGCCCCTTAACCTAAAATTTAAAAATAAAAAGTTCTCAATTTTTATTCTTCATTTTCTGTGCCTAAAGAATAAAAAAGTATTGGCCAGGAGCAGCGGCTCACTCCTGTAATAACAGCACTTTGGGAGGCCGACGCGGGGGGATTGCTTGAATCCAGGAGACCAGTTTGGCCGACATGACTAGACCCCCTCCTACCACACCTCTAGTCTCTCCGAAAAATAGCTGGGCGTGGTGTAGACCCAGCTACTCGGGAGTCTGAGGTGGGAGGATCGCTTGAGCCGTGGAAGTCCAGGCTGCCGTGAGCCGAGAACGCGCGCGATTGTCTGAAGAACAAACAAAAAAGAAGCAGCAGCAGCAGCAGCAGAAGAAGCAACAAGATAACAGAGGACCCCAAAAGTCATCGCATATCCTAACCTCCAATAAAAGCTGCAGTGAAAACCTTGGGGGCAGGGCGCTCCCGGCGTTCAGCAAACCTCCCACGCGCCTTCTTAACTGAAGTCCGCTGCGGGCGTTGGCTGTGGCTTGCTGGTCGAGCGTCAACTCGCGTCGAGGAGAGGGAGGGGAAGTGGGAATAAAAACTGCATTTGATGATCAGGAACGGGAAATAAGAAGGGCATCGAGAAACCAGGAGCCAGCAGGAGACTCGGGGAGGGAGTGGAGGTGAAGAGTGTTGCGAGGTGCAAATTTCACAAGGGCGAAGCGAAGCCTCAGACTTCCCAGAAACGCTACTTTTGATCTATGTAGGTGCCCTTCGGTGAATCAACCACGTTTCTAGTTTATTACTAACATATTTTATGCACTTAACCAAAAGTAGTCCACTTAAGTGTTTGAGCTCTTTTACACATTTGCTTGTATAAACCCTTACTTTCGTAAAGCTCGTATTTTTGGAATACGTAGTTCAAAACTCTTGTCCTTCGAGCCGGATTTGAACCAGCGACCTAAGGATGTCTTGTTCAAGAAGCCTACAGTCCTCCGCTCTACCAACTGAGCTATCGAAGGACACACAACTCTTTGGGCTTTAGAATACCTAAAATAATGTGTATCCTGAAAGTTTGTGCATTTTCAAGTCATGCTGTATTAAGGAGACTCCCTTTTAATTATATTGATACTCATTTTTTAAACCACAACCGGCTTTAAAGCAGTCTTCTCAGACGCTGGAAGTATTCTGTATAATGATATAGATAGTTGGCTTCATGGGTTTATAAATATGTAAAAGGTTATAAATATGTAAATATATAAATGGTTTTATATTGAAAACATTAGAATATTTATGTATAGCTCAAAACAAAAACTTTACTGGAATCCCCTGTCCTCCTCCGCTAGATGTATACAATCCCCCAGATTACGCCACTGTCCTGCTGTTCTGTCTGATTAACTCCTCCTTTCTCTCTCTCTCTCCCTCTCTCTCTCTCTCTGTCTCTGTCTCTCTCTCTCTCTCCGTCCCTCTCTCTTTCTCTCTGTTTTGTTTTGGTTTTGGTTTTTGCAGATGGAGTCTTGCTCTTGTCGCGCAGGCTGGAGTACAGTGGTGCGAACTCAGCTCACTGCAACCTACGCCTCTCGGGTTCAAGCGATTCTCCTGCCTCAGCCTCATAAGTAGCTAGGGTTACAGGCGCCTGCTACCACGCCCGGCTAATTTTTGCACTTTTAGTAGTACAGACGGGGTTTCTCCATGTGGGCCAGGCTGATCTCAAACTCCTGAGGTAAGGTGATCCCCCCTCCGTCGGCCTCCCAATGTACTGGGATTACAGACGTGAGCCACCGCGGCCGGCTCCTTTCTCTCTTACAAGTGTCTGGATTTGCTTGATAAATGCTATGGTTGCCCTAAATACAGACAACTGGGTTGACAAGGATCCCAGTGTTGTGAACAAAGCATTCTGGTATCATCGCAGTTCTCCTTTCTGAAAGTCGAACCGTAAATTGTGTATATTCCTAACCGCAGTGATGAAATGGGAAGTGTCAGTTCTGCATGTATGTGTAAATTTGAGTGTATATTATATAATTATGGTGAAGCAGTTAAAAGGAAGCAAAAACTCTTGAAAACTTTAAGTGGAAATATAAATATTCCTTTTTCAAAGTAAATTGTCCAACATAAAGAGAGGTTCTGTGGAGGCTGCTGTCTTCTTAGCTTCCTTGTACCTACGGGACAATTATGTTGTCCCTTAGGACAATGGAGAACACGTTTAAACTATCTGGCAGGAAAAGGCTTTAAAAAGAAAAATTCCAAGATTTTCTTCAAATGGCAACTGCTAGTGCCATTTGAAGTGTCAGAAATATTAATAGCATACAATTGATACTGAACACTATAGTTAAACCCCTCCCATGAGTAACTACGAAAATAGTATGTACTAACTTTCAGTGTTTCTAACCTAATAGAGAGCTAGCAGCTAGAGAGGAGGGATCCTAGGATGTGGATAGTCTCTTTCGACATTACTGTGTGTCCCATATGTGCCTTGGACAGCAGGTGGAAAAGCTACAGAGATACCAATAAAAAGTGAAATTTCAAGCCGGGACTGCTACAAAATTTTTCTCTCTGTTAGGATTAGTGGGGTGACACCTGGAGAAACAGGAAGACCCCGGAAAGGAAACAAGAAAGACCAAGGTTACTTTCCCATCTCCAGCCTTGGAATCTCTAGCCTCCTTTTTGGCAAGTCTTACCCATAGGGTCAAGTGGTAAAACAGAGTCCTATTTCCTGTATCAAAAAGGGGATTAAAGAAGGGATTGAAGAGCCGTCTCATACATTTCCTTATATAGATCTTTACATGCTTGAGCATAAGGAGTGATCTAACACATTTTCTTGTCTAGATCCTTATTTTTATTTTTGGAAAGTTCGTATTTCTGAGAATTCAAAACTCTCATCTGGATTCGAACCAGTGACCTAAAGATGTCGTAGCTTAAGGAAACTACAGTCCTCTACTCTACTAACTGAGCTATCAAAGAACACATGATATTCTAGTCTCTAGAATGCCTAAAGTAATGTGCATCCTGAAAGTTTCTGGGTTTCCAAGTTTTGTTGTATTAAGGAGACTTGGTTTATTGATGTTCATTTATTTATTTATTTTTTATTTTTTATTTATTTTTATTTTTTTATTTTTTTTGTGACGGAGTTTTGCTCTTGTTACCCAGGCTGGAGTGCAATGGCACGATCTCGGCTCACCGCAACCTCCGCCTCCTGGATTCAGGCAATTCTCCTGCCTCAGCCTCCTGAGTAGCTGGGATTACAGGCACGCGCCACCATGCCCAGCTAATTTTTTGTATTTTTAGTAGAGACGGGGTTTTGCCATGTTGACCAGGATGGTCTCGATCTCTTGACCTCGTGATCCACCCGCCTCGGCCTCCCAAAGTGCTGGGATTACAGGCGTGAGCCACCGCGCCCGGCCCTGATGTTCATTTTTTTTAAACCACAATCGGCTTTAAAGCAGTCTTCTCGCTGGGCACCGTGGATTACACTTGTAATCCCAGCACTTTGGGAGGCCGAGGTGGGTGGATCACCTCAGGTCGGGGGTTCTGTAATATCCCAGACAGTGGGCAGGCTGAGGCAGGAGACCCTGGGAGGCATAGGCTGCAATGAGCCAAGATTGCATTACTGCACTCCAGCCACAGTGACAGAGGGGGACTCCATCTCAAAAAAAAAAAAAAAA